TACCTACCTCTGTTGTCTCTTACGACACTGACGGGATTATATGGCGCAGACAGCACGGTGGATTCTTACGATATAACTCTACTTATTAGTAGAGTTATAGAACTCTACTTATCAGTTTTGCTTTATTTCTAATATAACGCGATTGATTCAGATCTTAATTCAGCTGGGAATAAAAGCTTCATTTACCTACCTCTGTTGTCTCTTACGACACTGACGGGATTATATGGCGCAGACAGCACGGTGGATTCTTACGATATAACTCTACTTATTAGTAGAGTTATAGAACTCTACTTATTAGTAGAGTTATAGAACTCTACTTATCAGTTTTGCTTTAATTCTAATACAACGCGATTGATTCAGATCTTAATTCAGCTGGGAATACAAGCTTCATTTACCTACCTCTGTTGTCTCTTACGACACTGACGGGATTATATGGCGCAGACAGCACGGTGGATTCTTACGATATAACTCTACTTATTAGTATAGTTATAGAACTCTACTTATCAGTTTTGCTTTAATTCTAATATAACGCGATTAATTCAGATCTTAATTCAGCTGGGAATAAAAGCTTCATTTACCTACCTCTGTTGTCTCTTACGACACTGACGGGATTATATGGCGCAGACAGCACGGTGGATTCTTACGATATAACTCTACTTATTAGTAGAGTTATAGAACTCTACTTATCAGTTTTGCTTTAATCGTCTTCTAGGTTACTTAACCGATTTCTTTATTCTTCCTTTTTTTATCGGCTTGTTAGAGCCCTCTGCTGGATATACGCGTCTCACATTGTAGGGAATATTTTTTTTATAAGATAAGAGTGACAATTGACAATCGAGCACACAGTCCACCTGATGAGAAGTGGTTGCTGTGGCCCATAGACATTTACATCTATTCTTGGTTACGAATCAAAATGCAGATGCATGCTTGTCAGAGCCCTCTGGTGGATATACGCGTCTCACATTGTAGAGAATATTTTTTATAGGATAAGGGTGACAATCGAGTACACAGTCCACCTGATGGTAAGTGGTTGCTGCGGCCCATAGACATTTACATCTATCCTCGATTACGAATCAAAATGCAGATGCATTGTCACCCGTAAGGACTAAGATGGAATGCCTCGTTTCCAGTAAAATTTGCGCTGAGCTGCTATTTTACGATGATCCTTCCCGGGTCGAGCGGAACCATTTTTGCCACAACTATACTACTAATATAGCTGCAGCATGGCTCCACCATGTAAAAGGATTAGGCTTCATCGTCACGGTTGGCATCCAGATTGATGATTACATCCCTAACACTGCTTTTTTTGTGTGACAAATGAGCACACAGTTCACCTGATGGTAAGTTGATACTGTGGCCCATAGACATCTACGTTTTTCCTTAATTAAGAATTAAAATGCGTTGTCATCCCTGAGGACTAAGATGGAATGCCTCGTTTCCAGTGAAAAAGGGTCTCCAAATCTCTACACTCACTATACGAAACACAGTAGCGTTAAACTCCTATTTAACGATGGCATTCTGTGAGAGCGTGGTCCTTCCATGCTCGAGCCGACCCATCCGTTCTGCAACCATTATATAGTTGCAGCGTATAAACTACGCTGCCCATCGCTTTTCCCATTGTCGTCTCTTGAGACGAAACTGGATGATAGACTTTCTTAAGTCGCCACCATACGGCTAGCTAAACCAATGTTCGGCCTCTTAAAGTTGCTCTTCCTCTTATCACTAAATGAAAATAGAAAGAGACAGAACTGAGGTCTCAAGTACCTTCTTACTTACTTCTGTGAGAGCGTGGTCCTCCCCGATTGAGCCGACACATTCGTGCTACAACTATACTACAATAATGTTAAGCGTTTTTGTAGCCACTTAATTTAAAAAATAAACTTTATGTTTTAATATTTATTTCTCCCGGCAACGACTATAAAATCCCGCAAATTTCAAAATTTGTCCTGATATTTCGGTCTTCCGATCTGGTAAACCTAGTTAGTAATTATTGGTCGAAGTTAGTAACCGTATCTTTTTTTATTTCGAATTGTTATCAAGAAGACGCTGCTGCCCGTATCCTGTTCCATTCTTCTGTCGTCTCTTACGACTAGAGATGGGCCGAATATTCGTGTTATATTACAATATAGCCGCAGCATGGCTCTATCACGTATAACTTTTAGTTCTGTTGGGTAAAATCCATTTGGATGTAAATTGCCTCTTGCATACTACGTACGATTTGGCTCACCAGAGCCAACTTACACATTGACAACCTATTTACATTTAACTATAATTAAATGAGAGAAGTGCAAGCTCTTTAGATGGAACGAATGACCTTGAAAAACATGCAGCAGAAGTCCAGCATTCCTCGGAGGAGGCCTATGTTCGAAGTGATTTGTGAACGGCTGTAATGCTCACAATAAATATGATCATGAAATAACGAAGGGGTAAAAAAACTGGGTTAAAAACTTGTTTGAAAAAATTGAGACCAAAAGTTAGACCGGAATGAGAGAGAAAGTTTCAAGTATAATTCAATTTGTTCGACGAACTAAAATAAAAACAAAAAGCATTTCCAAGCTTGATGTGGCAACGCGATCCTTTAGTTTGAAATGTCGACGAATTTTTACGATATAACAATTTTGAATTTGTTTTTCACCTAAAATGTCCATTTATTTATCCATTCGAGCGTGTAAAAGTTCACTACTGTACATAAGACGTCCCCATACATTGTCTAATAGATAGCATATTTGCCACAGATGTCTGGCTAGTCAGAAGTATTAGTAACAGGATTGCCAGATGGTCGGATTTCGTCTGGAATCTCCCGACGTTTTAAATAATCTCCAAACTCACGACAAAACTCAAAATCTCCAGACAATATACGTGGTAGAGCCATGCTGCAGTTATATAGTAGTATAGTTGTAGCACGAATGGGTCGGCTCGACCGGGGAAGGACCACGCTCTCACAGAATACCAGCGTCAAATAGCAGCTTAATACAGCTGTGTTTCGTATGATGAGTGTAGAGAACCGGAGAACCTTTTTACTGCAAACGGAGCATTCCATCTTAGTCCTCACGGTAGACAACGCATCTGCATTTTGATTTGTAATCGAAGATAGATGTTGATGTCTATGGGCCGCAGCAACCACTTACCATCAGGTATGAGGGGCTCTCGGGTTTACACGTACCTGGCTCGAAGATTTTTTTAGCTGCAATTCCGTCGGTAGTCATATGGTGACTGTGTTTGCCCCCTCTTCTATAAAAAAAATGTTGACTGTGTGCTAGTTTGTCACCCTATCGTATAAAAAAACAGGAAAACAGCTTTTCGGAAAGTTGACGTACGCCTTTGATTTAATAAAAGCCTAGGTTAGTAATAAGACTGAACTTTAGGTTCCAAATTGCTGAGCTCTAGTCAACTTCAATGTCAAATACATGTGGCGGCAACCTAAAAATTAAGTGTACTTTAATTAGTTATGTGTCAATAATGTTAAGCGTTTTTGTAGCCACTTAATTTAAAAAATAAACTTTATGTTTTAATATTTATTTCTCCCGGCAACGACTATAAAATCCCGCAAATTTCAAAATTTGTCCTGATATTTCGGTCTTCCGATCTGGTAAACCTAGTTAGTAATTATTGGTCGAAGTTAGTAACCGTATCTTTTTTTATTTCGAGTTGTTATCAAGAAGACGCTGCTGCCCGTATCCTTTTCCATTCTTCTGTCGTCTCTTACGACTAGAGATGGGCCGAATATTCGTTTTGTATTCGGTATTCGGCATATTCGGCAGCTTTACCGAATATTCGTATTCGGCCGAATATTCGGGTAAATCACCGAACATTTGTTAAAGTGCTACTCCAACTGTCCACTGTATTGAAATGTACGAATTGATGTGTCTTTGATAATGTAATTTGATAATTTAATAATTTTACTGTTGAAAGTATAATGATAGTATAGTATATTTATGGGTAAAAACTACTTATATAGCGTTATGTTTTTGAGGCAGTACATTTATTTCCAAATATAGCAAATAGAAGGCTTGATAATTTTTTTTTTGGAATCATACAAAAACATTACTTTATCGTTAGTTTCTCTAAAATAAGTCCAAATAGTAGATCTCCTGCCACTCGTTTTTATCATATAATTATCAATTTTCACTAAGAATAACACAACGAAATACTTTTTTTTTTTTGACAAAAATAGACAAAAAATAAGCAGGTGCCGGCTAATTGTTCAGTACTTGATGATGCAATAACATGTCATATTGCGAAGGAGCGAGAAGGGTTCGGCGCTAATCCTGCGCGCTTTACGGTAACAAGTTTTGACATAAATTGGTCAGGTACCAAGGTAATCCTGACGAATAATGTTCGGCCGAATATTCGGTTCGGTAAAAGTTTTACCAAACGTTCGGCCGAATATTCGTATTCGGTGAAATTCATATTCGGCCCATCTCTACTTACGATACCTACACAGGAAGATAATTTTATAAGCCAGTGAATTACACCGCCACTCCAAGTCGCAGCGGCGTAAACTGTCCAAAATATAGACCTTCTTTATGAATGCTAAAATAGCACATATCCATTAATTAATTTTTTTTACTTCATTTGGTTTATCAAAGGGTGTTATAATAGATAAAAACTGAAAGAATACAAAACAAAATAGTTTTAGTTGCTTGCTAACAAAGTTACCACGGTATATACACAAAGACTAATTTAGAATAATATCATGCTAGCTAATAACGTATTTTTCATACTTAGGTAACCATTTAACAACGATTAGAAGGTATAATTTTTAGTTTCAAAAACTTTTAACATTATTACATGATATGTTTACGAACTTTTCGTTACGTACGTTTTTATAAAGAAACCACAAATTCTCCGCCAATGCCCTTAAACTTAAAGTAAGAAGCGATACAAGAACAAAAAGCAGATCGAATGATAAATCGAATAAAAGATGATAAAGAAGTAACAGAAAGCTTAAACTACTATAAATAATGCCAGCCGCAGTACAACCTCAGCCTCATACTAACCGTATTTCTTGTTAAAGCTCGCCCCGTGACTCAGGAAATCTGTGGACAATTAATTTTACATGAACAAAGCAAAATAATATTGAAAAAAAATGATGATTGGCATGTCAGAAAAATAAGAATTGTTATTAGGTTTATGTTAAGATTTATACAGTTTATGCTTAAAAAAGAAAAAAGCCACTTAACATTAGAATAAAATATTGGGTAAACGTATTCTAAGTAACGATAACCGACCAGAAACACTTATTTAATAATTTTGTATTTGTAATACTAATTTGTCATAAATGTATTTATTATAAGACAGCTTAAACTAAACTTAAAACTGTTAAATGAGCTTAAAATTTTTACATGTCAGGAAGCTTATTGCAAAGTTGTACTCCTTCAAAGTTCATAACTTTATTGCCATGATTTAAGAACATTTAACGTAATAAGTAAGCTAGATATATTACAGTTTCATAATAATAATATTGGGTAAAGTATTTGTTAATATTGTAACGTCCAATTAAATCTTTGACGAAATGATTGATATTTCACTAGTAATTTACCTATAATGCAATTTATATGCAGTATAATAACCTGATGAATGGTGCTGTTTTATTGGTTGGTACTAAATCTATACTCTTATATCTCGGAAAAATAACTTAAGGACGTTGTGTTCATTAAGTCTTTCTTATGTTATACTAAATCACTGAATATAAAGAAAAAATAACTTGTCAGTTAAAATTTTATAATGCAATGATCTCACACTATTCATTTGAGAGAATATTAATTCGGAAAATATAAGAAACGTCTAATTGAATGACGAAAACTTTAAACCAGCGCCATCTAGTAATTGCTGTCAGAACGTCGATGCATGATTCAAGCTATTTTACGGTGTTAGTTTAAGGTAATGCCGTGAACTTCGCATTTGTTGGCGCTCATGTTTCTGTTCTAAATTAAGGCGATAACATAAATATGCGATACGAACTCACCGTTTCGATTCATCGTTTTTTAATGAAGAAATTAATACACACAATAAATAAACATATAATTATGATCAACTTATTATTAATATTACAAGTTGTACATGGTTCTAAATAAAATAATTTAAAAAAAAAAGACAGTAATTCTCCGGTCACATGTGCGCACTACAACCAAAATGTACCTTTCTGCGATTGGCGAGAATCATGCGGTCGGTTCAGTAGTACGCCCCTATTATTGGTTAGTATTAGCTATGTCGGTAAGGTAATCTGTATGATAGCACGTGACGGCGACGAACATGCTTGAAGGCCGCGTGTGCTTATCACATAACACTTACAGATGGCGTCACTTTAGTTGTTTACCGTACTGTACCTACTAACCTAATATACCTACACCTATACTATAACATTACATTACTACTGACTTACTGACCGATTGGGTGATATGACTGGTGTGACATAATTTCACATAATAACGTTACTGTGGTCTGCGTGGACGCGAATCGAGCGACAACAACAAAAGTGAGTTATTGGTCGGTGAACGCAAGAAACTTTTCCTCGTACCACACCACATTGGTAGCGAAAAAAATATGAGTCGCGGCCTTGAGCACAGCAACTTTGTTATAAACGTACTGTATTAAGCAAAGAACGTGTCACATTTAATAAGTAAATTGAAAATAAAAAAGGACTATTATTTAATGACGCACATGGTAACACCAATCTACGCTTCGTATTTATTAGATTGAATTAACTTAACTGATACATCTTGAACGACGCAAAAAGTTGTAAATTATGTTGATAAGTAATTACATATATGTGTGTATTATACATTTTATCGAATCAAGTATTAACATAATGAGTATTTTTAGACGATACCAATTCCATATTATAGGTAGGCTACTACAGCACATATTAAAACTTAAACATTTCTGAAACATTTTTATAAATTAGGTATCTTCATAATTTTATTAGAAGAGGATTTTGTCATTTAAGAAATATAAATAGATATATCTGTTATTCAGTTGATCTTCTGTATAATTTAAGTTACCTATCTTCATTGAGCTTACAAACTCTTTAGGTAGAATACGCTATTTATTACTCTTTTAATGTAACAAGCAAGAAAAACAAAGGGAATAAAATATTAAAATTTGAAATAAGACTTAGGCTGGGGTAGCCGACTGCTACCATATATTTATTACTCAGACCGTTTGCTTATATACAGAATTATCGTCCGCCCTAATTTCATGGAACAATATTTTATTCTATTTATTTGTAGACAGTAAAATCTTCTAATTTACGTTATTTTACTCATACGTAGTTTAAATAATAACAATTTAAACACAATTTTGTTTATATAACATTGTTACGAATAATGGAATTAAATACCTACAACGAAAAGAGACTAGGACACAAAAATCCCATTTGTGTAGATAGTGTACCTAATATCTAAGTACCTGTCATTCTAAGGCTTAGCAGGCACTGCGATTAAACGCAGACTTCCACGATCACACGATTGGCACGATCCTGATACACCTCTCTCGTCTCCTTCACATCCATATACCTACGCATACATGCTCGTCGGTTAAGGGTACTCAATAATTTAAATATAATTAATAATTACCTATTAATAATAAAATAGTGCTGATTCTGAATGACAGGGTGAGAAATTGTGTGATAAGAGAAAAGTGTGGTTTGCAAGATGATGTTGCGACCAGGATTAAGAAAGGAATGCTTCGGTGGTTTGGTCATGTGGAAAGAATGAATGAGGAAAGACTGACAAAGCAAATATATGTTGCTGAAGTGAATGGAAGAGTCGGAAAGGGACGTCCTAGGCGGAAGTTAGTCGACCAAATTGACGATATACTAAAAGTGGGCCAAATTAAGAGTACCCTTAACCGACAAGCATGTATGCGTAGGTATATGGATGTGGAAGAGGCGAGAGAGGTATGTCAGGATCGTGATGATCAGGATCTGGGTGACAGTCGTGAGTGTTTATGTATGTATATGTATTAATAATAAATAATATATTATTTGGCCCGTTTTCAATAAGTCGCCAATTTGGTCGATAAATTTTCGCCTAGGACGTCCCTTTCCGACTCTGCCATTCACTTCTGCAACATAAATTTTCTTTGTCACTCTTTCCTCATTCATTCTTTCCACATGACCAAACCACTGAAGCATTCCTTTCTTAATCCTGGTCGCAACATCATCTTGCAAACCACACTTTTCTCTTATCACACAATTTCTCACCCTGTCATTCAGATTCAGCCCTAACATACTCCTTAACGACCGCATTTCTACTGCGTTCATTCAATGCTCGTGCTTCTTCTGCCACACTCAACTTTCACTACCATACGTTAAAGTAGGGACCAGCACAGCATTGTGAATTGCCATATGTGCCTTTTTTGACACATTTTGACTCTTCACAATAGAGTGCAGGGCCCCATTTACTCTATTTCCTGCATTCACTCGTCGTTCTATATCCTTATCATATCTCCCATCGCTGCTAAATACGCATCCCAGATATACGAACTCATCCACTTGCTCGATTGACTACCCTTCTATTCTTATTTCACATACCGTTTTGCTTTCTTCTCTTTCAAAAACCATAACTTTCGTCTTACTTGCGTTCACTTTCATACCTCTTTCTTTTAATGATCAGTTCATTAATGTAACCATCATTTGCATCTCGGCCGCCGACGACGCAAGAATAACTTGATCATCGGCATTCAAATTTTGCAAACAAGTAATAGGTTGAAAGGAGACCTAATATCAGTGTAATAAATTTTTTTTATTTTTTTTTTTTTGTTTCAAGAAAGAGCAACTGCCAAATTGTACTTGATAAATAAGAAATGCCTCTTTAAGAGGTTGGATAAAAGATTACACTTTTTTTGTTTATGTTAGTTTATTATCAATTATTTATAATATTCTCAAGAAAGTATTTGTCCTAGATTACAACATTTTTGTTATTAATACTTTAAATAGTGGGTGGTGGGATGGCATACGAAATGACCACAAAATGTCTCATGTACTCGAACATTTTAATTATTATTTTCGTTTCTCAGAATAGTCAGTAGCAGTAATTCAATTCGACAAATACGTAGAGTGTTAACAAGTACTGTTTTTCAGTTTATTATCAAAACTGTAATTATGTGGGTGTATAGTTTGGGTGCTGTACACAAATAACAATTATTTGTAGCCTTGGGTGGACTAGGCATCGGCCAAGCCATCCACATCAGCGCAAGCAGCATTTCTCGATGCCTTAGTTACAGGTGTCTAGGTATTATTTTTGTTTATAAGAGAGGTGATAAATAAAAAAAAATCAACTTAAGACCTTGGCAGTCCTCTTTTTAAGTAAATAAAAAATTAAATTAGATAATTAAAACAGAACGAACTTTCTGGCATTAAATAAATTACTTGTCGATGTTTTAACCCACTTCAAAAATGAGTTTTTGAAATCGAGTGCATGTTTTTTTGTATGTTACGCGATATCTTCGCAGATTGTAAGCAGATTTTAATAAATATTTTTTAACAAATAGGTTTTGCTTCTACTGCACAAGTATCAATATTTTTTATAGAAAATATTTCACCCCTAAGGGTGGAAAATTAGGGTTAATCTTTCAGATTTCTCTTGTTTAAAAAATGTTATATGATATCTTTGCAGACTGTAAGCTGATTTCAATGATTCTTTTCTTACTAAGTAGTACCTACATGATGGTTCCATAAAATATTGAAGAAAAAATCTGGCCCTAACAGTGAAAAATAGGGGGAAGAAGATCAATATTGGACTCTTCCTTAAGTAATTTTTATTTTCACCTACTTCCGGTGATTCTAATGAAAATTGGCACATAGATGTAGTTTATCAATACAACAATATTACGGTAACCTCAAGCTAATGGGTGCGTTTGGCAGAAAAAAGCGCTAGCAAGCGCTTACAAGCACTGAAATAGTTTTCGGTCAGGACACGATTGCTACTTCAGTAGCGCTGACACAATCCGCCATTTTGCTTATTTAATTTGTTTGTTTTGAAGTAGGTAGTTTATAAGTTTTTTTGTGCAATATTAGTTTTAAGTAATATAATGA